AGTCGTAAGATTGCTGCCAAAAAGGAATTCGCCAAATTCAAGCCATATTTATATGGTCGCATAGTCTCAGTCGTTACGGACCACCACGCCCTCTGTTGGCTGATTTCTTTGAAGGACCCGACTGGACGACTGCGTCGCTGGGCTCTCAGGCTCCAGGAAGTTTTGTTTAGCGTCAGCTACAAGTATGGCCGCTTGCACAAGACGCAGACTGTCTTTCTCATCATCCGGTGGATCCTACTGATCGCGTTGCAACTCACCAGGAGAGCAGCGTAAAAGCTTTACTGACATCGGCGATATGCGCATTGAACAATGAAGGGATGAGTCAGTGCGCACTATCATCGACACCATCCAGTCTGGCAGCCATGATGCTGAATCCCGTAAGTTCGTGCTGCATGACAGCATCCTCTACCACTGTACGTCAGCGCTGAAGGCCCTCAGCTTCTGCTTGCCGTTCCTCGCCATCTACGGCCGGCCATATTTGAACAACTTCAAACGCACTAAAAGTGGGACACCTCAGAGTTTCCCACACATACGACTGCGTACGACGTCGGTTTTCCTGGCCAGGACTGTACCACAGCCTATGTCGATATATCGCCACTTGCGACCTCTGCCAGCACTGGGAAAGGCGATCTTTGCTGCCAGCTGGATATCTTCACCCAATTTATGTCCCCTCTGAACCATTTCATCACGTGAGACTCGACCTTCTTGGCCCTTTTTCGACGAGGACACTTTAAAATAAATAGATTGCCGTCGACACAGATTATGCGACCCGTACGAGATAACATAGGTCATGCCAACCAGTTCTGCCACTGACGACCTGGATTTTCTTCTTCATGACGTCAGCCCCACTGTGGTGGTCTAGTGGCTAAGGTACTCGGCTGCTGAGTCGCAGGTCGTGGGATCGAATCCCGGCTGTGGCGGCTGCATTTCCGATGGAGGCGGAAATGTTGTAGGCCCGTAAGCTCAGATTTGGGCGCACGTTAAAGAACCCCAGGTGGTCTAAATTTTCGGAGCCCTTCACTACGGCTTCTCTCATAATCATATGGTGGTTTTGGGATGTTAAGCCCCTCAAAGAAACAACAAACTTCTTCATGACGTCATCTTACACCATGGTGCACCCCGACAGCTGTTTACGGACCGTGGCCGCTCTTTTTTGTCCAAAGTTGTTGACGACCTCATTCGATGGTGTGATACAGCGCATAAGCTATCTACAACCTAATATCCACAAAATAATGGCCTAACGCACGCTTACAGAGATGCTTTCGATATACGTCTCCGAAGGTCATCGTGACTGGGTCACCACGTTGGCCTATGTTACTTTCTCATATAATTCCCTTCGACATGACACCACGGGATTCTCACCTTTTTATCTTTTGTATGGTCGTGACCCCATATTGCCATTTGAAACCACCTTTCCTGTCAAGCCATCTGCTTCCGAGTACGCTCGCGAAGCCATTGATCGGGCTCACGTGGCTGGTCAAGTTGCTCAGTCTCGTCCCACCAGGTCACAGGATATGCGAAAAGCCCGCTACGACCACTGGCATTGTAATATAACGTTTGCCTCCAGGTGACCGCATGCGCTTCTGGTCACCGTGTCGCCGTGTAGGTCTCTCCAAAAAACTTTTCACCCGATGCGCAGGACCATATTTTGTCTTACGTCAAGTTAACGACGTCAACTACGAGATAGCGCCAATGCAGTCCAATACGTCACAAAGTTTGTCACTTGTTGGCATTGTTCATGTTTGAAGCATGAAACCCTACTTCTGTCGCACTTCTTCGGACTCACGCTGAGACGGTGCTGCAGTGCCTGGAGGTCCTGTTACGGAAATGAAGTAAAGGAAGGGGAAGGACACAATCAGCTGAAAGGAGCGCGAGAGTGCCAATCAGCCATTGTGACTCTTGCCTGTGGCTTTTCCTCTGTAAAAGCATTTTGTACAGACGTCACTGACCCAAAAACAATATTTCATAAAACGAATTAAAATTCATTACTTTCAATCTCACTGTTAGAGACCCCTTGCATACGTCTAAGTGATGTTAGCAGGCTTCTCGACTAGAATAACTAGAAAGCGGGAGCTTTTACAAGAGCCAAACATCTGGATTAGCCTGAATTCAATCAGAAGTCGGGCATCCACTAAGTCCTGGTGTCCTGTACTTAGGACATGAAGAAAGTCCATAGCTGCTGGCGATACTTTCTCGCATTCCACTATTTTCTTTTCCTTTTTGCCGAGTTCCAAAGAAGACGACGACAAAATATTTACTACTCATTCTTGCAGATGTTTATTGAGGATAGTTCGGACTTATTTGATATGCGAAGCATTTCTTAGAGATTTGCGTCGACTTTGAGCGCATCTATCTATCTATCTATCTATCTATCTATCTATCTATCTATCTATCTATCAATCTAGCCGCCTACGACTTTTAGCTCTCCTGGCCATTCGCATGATGGTATCAATGCCAAACTTGGTATAGCCTAACATGGCTGTATGAAGAACATATTTTGATTAGTCATAACTTGAAAACCATGACATTTATGTAATGAATTCATGATTTACATTACATGATCCTGCAGCTCTTGCGGTGATTTCGTTCACATGGCATGATGGAAAACTCGTATGGTATGACATGATTGCATGGCAAACACAACGACGGACCCTAACATTAAAATTGTGACAGGCGCGTCATGTAACAACATGACTACATGCCACGCTCATGATGCGCTCGCGGCCTGTTTTGCTAGCGTCTCGTATACCAAGTTTGGTATTACGTTACGTGAATGGATGACGAAGGTATGTGATTGGTGGAAACATGATAATCAAGAGATGTGTGTCATGTAACAACATGACTACGTGCCACGCTCATGATGCCCTGGTAATCGTTTCGCTAGCTTCACTTATACCGAATTTGGTATTACGGGACGTGAATAGATGACGAAGGTATAGTACTGGTGCAAACATGATAAACTATAAATTCGTGTCATGTAAAAACATGACTACATGCTGCGCTCATGATGCGCTCGCGGCCGTTTCAATAGCTTTAATTATACCGAATTTGGTATTACAAGACGTGAATGGATGATGAAAGTATTTGACTGATGCAAACATGATAAACGTGAGATGCGTATCATGTAACAACATGACTATATGCCACATTCATAATGCGGTAACGGCCATTTATGCCAGATTTGGCCAAATTTGGCACAAACGGTCGTTATATGCCGACAATTCATATGCCAAATTGATATATGCGAAGTTTGGCATTACGCGATGTCAATGAATGACAAATATATGTAACTGGTGCAAACATGATAACGATGAGATGCGTGCCATGTGGGAACGTGACTACATGCCACAGTGAAGGCGTCAATACATTTCGACGTGATGGGGTGCGCGTGCTCGCTGGCGTTCATTTTGTTGCGTCATGCCGGCGTTGCCACGCCAAGCGCCGGTCCTGCGATATACTCGCAGGTGCGCTCCGCGCTGCGTTGCTTTGACGCAGGCACGTTGCAGCGCGTCCAACGTCCCTCCAACACGAAAAGAGAGCAGACGCCGTGTTATTTGTGTAACGGATTGGCAGGTAATGCAGCATGTCTTATTTCATGCCAGTTGCCGTCGGGCCGCGCCGAGAGACGCGGGTCGCGCTGGTCGCACCTAGCGTAAGACTATTCTCCTTTTCATAAACGCCTCCCTGGGCGACAGAATAGCCCTCCTTGGGCTGTGCAAATTGGCGCGTCCCCACGAAAATGTACTGGCAACGCTGCACCCTTAGCCTTTGTACTCCCGTGCACAGCCCATCATGGCGGTGGTTTTTTCCTTCCTGTGAAAAGATGTATATGTAGAGTGCTCGCGTTTCACTAACGTAAACTAAAGCGTCGCTATGCTCAGCGTTCGAGCGCCTCAGCGCTACAATGGAGTATATTGGGCCCTACAATGAAGTATAAGGCTCGCGGCCGTTTTGCAAGCTCCACATAAACCAAATTTGGTGTGTCGTGACGTGCATGGGTAATGATATATATGACTGGTACAAACATGGAAATAATGACACGCGTGTCATGTAAGAAACATGACAACATACCACGCTCATAGCGTGCTCGCGGGCGATTTTGCTACTCCACATGCTAAATTTGGTATCGCGTGACATGATTAGATGACGAAGGTAAACGACACATCCAAACATGATATAATCATGATATGAAAGTCATGTACGGCAACATTTATCCTCCACCTCGTAACGTAGTGGGGAATTTACAATCACATATCAACCTTTCTCATTCGTGATTGCATATCATCGATTCCCAGTGTACGTGGGATTCGCCAATTTTTTGTTTCTTGACTTCATCATGTAACATCTGGCAGCAACATTCTTTCTTCTTCTTTTTATAAGACGCCTGGGCCGAAAGGGCGAAGCCGCCACCTTTGCACAAGCCCTGAAATTACTGAACTTTCACCTCAGACAAAGAGCTTTCGTGCCGCTGAACTACGCTTTCATTATGATTGTTCCAGGTTGGATTTAAAGTAATTGTAAATGAAGATTTTTAATATGATAGAGTTGTTGAACATCCGTATTTTAATGTATACGAAAAATCTAATGGCTCTTTTATTGTGACACATGAATGGAGACGTGGGCTGTTGGACAATTTTTTGACAGCATCATCGACCGGATGGATGGATGGATGGATGGATGGATGGATGGATGGATGGATGGATGGATGGATGGATGGATGGATGGATGGATGGATGGATGGATGGATGGATGGATGGATGGATGGATGGATGAATGGATGAATGGATTTGATAGAACGTTAGCAAATGTTCAGCCGTGTCCTCTTCCACTTCACACACACTACATTGCGTGTCTTTGCTTCTTATTCGGTTTATTTATTTATTTATTTATTTATTAAAGGTACTTTCAAGGCCCGAAGGCACTACAGAAAGGAGTGGTTTGAACAATCGTAAGTGCAGTTAAAAAGTTTAAAAAAAAAAAAAAAAAAAACAGGAAAAAAAAGAAAAATTCTACAGGGCATCATGTATGGCGAGCTTGAAGTCTTTTTGGTCCGTTATACAGGCGATGGAGGCGGGAAGGTGGTTCCAGGTGGCGCTTGTCCTTGGCACGAATGAATCATTATATAGTCTGGTGCGACAGGATGGTAGGCCCACCTTAAAGCGATGATCCATCCTTGGTGATATGAAGCGAGGTGGATGAAACAGGGCGTCCTTCAAATGGCTGTTATAATGATAGATTTTGTGAAAAAGGTTAAGGCGAGACAATGTGCGGCGCAATGAAAGATCAGGCAAGTTTAGGGTGCTCTTCATGGATGTGACACTGGAATGACGTGAATAATTCGATAAAATGAAACGTGCTGCGCGATTCTGAGTGGTTCGAGAGATTGAATGAGAATGGCATGAGTTGGGTCCCATATGGCGCATGCGTACTCTAATTTGGTCTGACCAATGTTTTATACAGTGTTAACTTGAGTGACGATGGCGCAGAGGAAAGTTACGGCGCAGATAACCAAGCATGCGGTTAGCGTTGTTAATCACATATTCTGTGTGTTTATTCCAGGAAAGATTAGAAGATATGTGAACACCAAGGTATTTGTAATTGTCAACAGATGGTAATGGAATGTTATTGAGGGAATAAGTACGCGGACAGTGGGTGGTAGTGCGACGTGAAACTTGCATGCTCTTGCATTTAGATATGTTAAGTGTCATGAACCATGTGTTACACCATGCGAATATGCTATCTAGGTCGCGTTGAAGGTTAAGGTGATCGACATGACTGGTTATTTTGGTAGAGGACGCAGTCGTCTGCAAAGAGTCGGACAGTAGAAGAAGAAACACAAGAAGGAAGATCATTAATGTAAATTAAGAAAAGGAGTGGCCCTAAAACGGACCCTTGCGGTACACCAGATGATACTGCGGAATTAGGTGAACAAAAATTATTAGCTGTCACGTACTGGCTGCGGTTAGAGAGGAATTCTTTAATCCATGTAAGTACATTGGGGTCGATGTTAAGCTGAGTAAGTTTGAAAATGATTAGTGCGTGTGAAACGGAGTCAAATGCTTTAGCGAAATCTAAGTATATGCAGTCAGTATCAAATTCAAGATCTGCGTTAATAAACAAGTCGTTAGTAAAACACAGCAACTGTGTTTCGCATGAAACTGTCTTACGGAAGCCATGCTGATAAATGCTAAAGAAGGAATTAGATTCAAGGAATTCAATGAGGTGCGAGTATATGACATGCTCTAAGATTTTCACTGGAATGGATGTTAACGATATGGGACGGTAGTTATTGGGGGAATGTACATCACCAGATTTATGCACAGGGACCACCTTCCCAGTCTTCCAGTCAGATGGCAGTGTGGACGTCTGTAATGACTGTTCAAAAAGTTTTGACAATATTAAAGAAGAATAGACTTGAGTACACTTCAACATTTTTGACGAAATGCAATCTGGACCAGCTGATGATGACACTGTCAAGTTTCCAACAAGTTTTTCGACACCAACTGCATCAATGATAATAGGGTCCATTGGCAAGAAATCGGTGCTTGTTAACTGTGGAAATATAGTTGGGATGCTGTTCTGAAAGTGTGCAGCAAATACATTACTCAGAACGTTGCAGCACTCGCTAAGAGCGACTGGGACATCAGACTGTATTAATTGGATATGTCGCGTTGTAGTTCCGCTAATGATGCTCCAAAACTTACGTGGATTAGAGCGCAGCAGCGAAGGAAGAGTTTCATCGAAAAATACTTTTTTGGCTTTCGAAAGCGCAGTACAGAATTCTCTGTTAAATGTCTGATAAAAAGACCAATGGTCTGTTCTGGCTGTTGATTTGGCGCGTCTGAATAGCCGCTTCTTTTTATTGCGCATGCGTTTCAACGTGTTATTGAACCACGGAGAACGAGGATTCGATGAAACTTTTCTCTTAGGTACAAATCGGTCAATTAGGGCTAGCAGTTTGTTCTTATAGTCTAGCCAGTTCTGTTCAACAGATCGCTGCTCAAAACCAGCAAAGAATAGGTCAACAAAAGATTGTAACTCTGTATTCATTCCATGAAAGTCCGCTTTGCTATAGTCTTGGATATTTTTGTTCTTTTCTTGATGGAAACCCGTGCTTTTATTGTGAAGTGGATTATGCAATGGTCGCTAATTCCCGGTAGATGAGTGAAGGGTGAAGCTAGGTCAGGTGTACTGGTAAGTACTAGATCTAATACGCTAGCGGAAGTGGAGTAACGCGAGTAGGAAAGTCACAAGCTGGGTAAAGTTGAAGTCGTGACAAAAATTCAAAAATTCCCTACTTTCACCTGAGTTGTGCTTTAAGGTAACCGGGTCTCTTTCCCACATGATGTCGGGAAAGTTGAAATCGCCAAGAATGAACAAAGGTGATCTCGGGTATCTGACGAACAGCTGATTGACAACATCATGCAAGTCATTGCAAAAGGATGATGATGCAGTTGGTGATCGATAGCAAATACAAAATATTATTTCGCGAGAATCAATGAGCACGCGGACACAAACAAGTTCAAGTGAAGACATAACAGGAATAATATGAGAGGCAAGATTATCGGCAACCGCCAGCAGAACACCCCCACCAGACCGGTAATCGCGGTCGCATCGGTAAAATTTGTAGTGCTTCTCACAATCCAATATTTCTTATTTCTTACTTTTGTAGAAAGCCAAGTCTCTGTCAGACCAACAATATCAGCGGAACAGGAATCAATAGCAGAAGACAGTTCGACGCGTTTATTCAGGACGCTGCGCACATTAGAAAAGAAAAAAGAAGCGTTTCCTGCGCAGCAACGAGACGGGCGTAGCTATGAGGTGCTAGAAGTGTCAGCACGTGCAGGTAGAGAGGGTTCTTTGTCCTTAGCTTGGGGTGAATTGATTTCGCGAACGCTGTCGCTTTCTGCGCAGTAAACGTAAGTTTTCTTGTTCATGACCAGTTTGTTAACGCGTAGCAAATACGGTTGCCCGGCTGCCTTAGCAAATTCCATTAATTTCTTCCTTGAATTTCGCGTGCTTTTGCAAAAATCTTCGCTAGCTGATACACCAGTTCCTTTGAATTTTTGTCTCTGCATCAGGATAGCATCTCTAACCTTAAATGACGAAAATTTGACGATAATTGGCCGAGCTTTTTTAGCGGCGTAACTTCCTAACCTATGTGCTCGGGAAACTTCGGAGTCAGAAATGTGCATGTCAAGGTGTCGGGAGAGTAGATCACGAACATGGCCTTCAGACTGAGCCCACGTCTCATTAGGGCTGTCCGATATACCAAAAAACAATACGTTCTCTCGTCTGGACCTGTCTTCAAGATCGTCCAGTCGGGCACTGAGTATCTGGCCTTGCACCTTGACAGTTTCAGCGATTAGACGTGGCACATCACTGACTACTGCAGAACCTTTGTGACATGCACGCATTCGCACACACATTCAATATGACACTTGGGCACGGTAGGAGCAGCAGACAGACGTTACTGGTTCGCTTACAGTAGAGAGAAGGAGGTTTACTGACCTGCACAAAAAGCAAAATCGGATTTCTGAGCGACCGCATCGTTGCCGCTCCACCGTGCCCACTGAAGGAACAGGAGAATTCCGTGGTCTTTATATGCTCTTGCGTCGCTGCAGTCGCCCGCAGTGTTGTGGACCAGGTGACGATGGAAAGGATGCCACCGTCAGATAGTGGCAGATGACGCAGGGGCGTGTTCATCCAGATCGGGGCCGCCAGCAACACCGGTGAAGAGTAGTTGGCACGCGCTGGATTCGCACGCGATGGTAATGTTCCAAACCAGGCGACTAACTGCACAAAAAGCAAAATCGGATTTCTGAGCGACCGCATCGTTGCCGCTCCACCGTGCCCACTGAAGGAACAGGAGAATTCCGTGGTCTTTATATGCTCTTGCGTCGCTGCAGTCGCCCGCAGTGTTGTGGACCAGGTGACGATGGAAAGGATGCCACCGTCAGATAGTGGCAGATGACGCAGGGGCGTGTTCATCCAGATCGGGGCCGCCAGCAACACCGGTGAAGTGTAGTTGGCACGCGCTGGATTCGCACGCGATGGTAATGTTCCAAACCAGGCGACTAACTGCACAAAAAGCAAAATCGGATTTCTGAGCGACCGCATCGTTGCCGCCACCGTGCCCACTCACAACCCGTTTGGTAGTTCCACTCACTACCCGTGCCCACTCACTACCCGTTTGGTAGTTCTTAGTCCACAATTCTCTCATTCTTGCCTTGAATGGCAAAGAACTACACCGAAAATAATTGTAGACCTTTGTCACAGAACGAGCGCTAAAAAAGAGCGCGCCACCAAATTCTTGCGACAACGGGCGGAGAACGCCGCGAGGTCAAAAGAAAAAAAAAAGAGAGTAAACGTCCAAGGCTCCCCGGGCGCGCGCTCTCCCCGCGGAAGCGTGGCGTCGCAGACGAACCTCCTCTTCCCGCATCGGTGGCCCAGCAAGCCCGCGATTTTTCTAGAACGAACGGGGCGGGGTCATACCGAGTTGAATCATCCTCCGGGGAGGGCAGTCGAACCGTCTCGCACCTCTCCCCAACCTTCGCTGCACATCGCGCCGACGCAGAACGTTCTGGATGGTGGCGCGGAAGGTATTTAATCGAGTGGCCGAGACGAGAAAGCAGGAGGAGACGGAAGTTAACGCCAGAGCGCGTAGGGATTCCGCCGTGTAGTCGGCGAAGGTTTTTGGTCCGTAGGGACGAGGCCGGAGATGAAGAGGATTTCCACCTGAGGGGTGACGACTCGAGCTACCGGCAAGAGTGGGTGTTTACCACTATCGAGCGAAGACCCGTGGCAACAGCTGCGAGTGTGAAGCCGACGTGTTTCCGGTGAAGAAGTTTGAAGCTTGGAGAGTGGCCAATTGAAGTCGGCGAGGTTTCCTGGAAGAGAGACTTCGAGAGCTGCGGAACGACAACAACGCTGGACTTTGAGTGAGTGATTCTCGGAAAAGTATCATTCAGACTTTTGTCCCAAGGACTTTGGACTGAACAGGTTTTCTAACTCTTTAGTCCTTAAGTGTCTTGGTTTTAAATGCATGCGACTGCATTGTAGTGCGTATTGTTGTCTGTGTCCGTTGTTTCAAGTGTGGCTGATTGTATTGTGTAGTACGTTGATTGATTGGTTTGATTGGTGACATATTGTATGCAACTATTGTGGAGTGTGCATTTTTGTGTATTATTTTCGATCTGCCAATATTGAGAATATAATTTGTTTGTTTATCAACTCTCGGCTCTGACTTGTTCTTTGGGCCACAGCCGGCGTCCGCTGGCGCGCCAAAAAGGACCACTTCTAAATTGTCCACGCTTTCGTGGTGCGGTTCGGGGGGCCGATACTTCGGCTCTTGGAATTAGCCCGGCGATCGCCTCCCTAATAAACGGGACAGGTGTGACAATTAATCTGGCGACCGCGAGACAGGACCTTTTGGTGCACAGTGTGTCCAAAGTAGTGAGAAAGAGCCTCGAGTTGTTGATAGTGCTATCGGAACGATTTGTGTGTTGTTCAGTGTTCTCGTTAACGAGTGCAGCGGAGTGTTCCGATAGACTGATTTAGGCAGATACTTTTTGCACGTGGCAGGGTTTTATTTGCGAGTTGCGAGACACAATGGATCTCGAAAAGTTAGTTGCGCTTGGTGAGACGATGGGTCCTTTTTGCGCCAAACTACGGAAATGGGTAAGCCAGAAGGAGAAAGAGGCGGTGGAGAGAGAAAGGTTGGCAGCTGAGAGAGCCAAGGAAGAAAAAACAGCTGAGTTGGAACGAGAGAGGTTGGCGGTCGAAAGAGCCAAAGCGGAAAAAGAAGCTGAGTTGGAGAGAGAGAGGTTGGCAGCTGAAAGGGTGAAGAAGAAAGAGAGGCAAAGGAGCGACAGCTGAAGGAAGAAAGAGAGCAGCAATTGAAGTTGGAGCTGGAGAGAGAGAAGTTGGCAGCTGAAAGGGCGAGAGAAGAAAGAGAAGCAAAGGAGCGACAGCTGAAAGAAGAAAGAGAGGCAAAAGAGCGACAGCTGAAGGAAAAAGAGAGCAGCAATTGAGTTGGAGCTGGAGAGAGAAAAGTTGGCAGCCGAAAGGGCGAGAGAAGAAAGAGAAGCGGAGATGGCTGAAAGGGAACGGCAGCGGCAGCACGAGATGGAACTCGAGCGGCTCCGTTTGCAACAGCGAAGCGAAACTCCCATCAGGGCTAGAGTTGAAAGCAGCGAACGGGAAGATCACGGCTTCCGCTTGAACCCAAGCAAGCTGCTCGTAGCGTTTGATGAAAGGAAGGACGGCCTTGACGCGTACCTTCACCGATTTGAGACGATTGCGAAAAGCCAGAATTGGCCGGAACATCAATGGGCAACTGCTTTGAGTACTTGCTTGAGTGGTGAAGCGCTCAGTGTGTACGGTAGGCTGACGCCGACCGATGCAGCCAACTATGCAAAGGTGAAAGCTACTTTGCTGAAGCGATTTAGATTTACCGTGGAAGGATTCCGGGACAGATTTAGGACAAGAAAGCCAGCTGATGGGGAGACGGCTACGCAGTATGCCGCCCGACTTTGCCATTATTTCGACAGATGGATTGAACTTTCAGGAACAGCACAGGAGTACGATGAGCTTAGAGAGCTCCTAATTAGAGAACAATTTCTTACTAGTTGCCACCCAAGCCTGTCGCTGTATTTGAAAGAGAGGAAGGCTGAGTCACTTGAAGGAATGCTTGAATTGGCTGATCAATTCCTGGAAGCGCAAGGTGGAACTAATTTGGCCAAGGTCAAGAAAGATTGTCCCGATGATTCGAAGAAATTGGCTCCCGAAGAAAAGAAGCGTGCACCAGAGAGCATTCCGCGATGTTTTCTGTGCAACCGAGTCGGTCATCGCGCGAAAAACTGTCGAACGATCTTTACGAGCCCTACGGTTGTAAAATGTTTCAAGTGTGGTCAGACTGGGCACAAAGCAGATGCATGTCGGAACGGAGTGAGTCAAATTCACCAGGTATCCTGTGTGCAAGCAGCACCGAAATCTGATAATAATGCCGTCACTGATGGATTCGTAGAGTTGAAGAATGGGGAGAAAATTCCTATTGTGGGTGCGGTAATGTCAAAACAGCCAACCGGTGTTACGAAAGGAATGCCAACGCTACCTGGAAAAGTTGCGGGCAAAAAGATTACGGTGTTAAGAGATACCGGCAGTTCCACTGTTATCGTGCGGAGAAATTTGGTACGGGAAAGTGAGTTGACAGGCAGAACGAAACCGGTTTGCCTAATTGACCGTACAGTTCGGCTGCTTCCCGAAGCAGACATTGAGGTTGAAACCCCGTACTTCAGCGGGAAGGTTACTGCTTTATGCATGACGACCCCCCTGTATGACCTTGTCATCGGAAACATCGACGGGGCGCGAGGGCCAAGTGATCCAGAATGTTTGGGAGAAGACCCGAAGATAGAGCCCTCGCCAACACAGCGGCCGCGAGATACAGTGGAGGAACATCCCGTGACGGAGCTCACTAGAGCCCAAGGTGAAGCTGCGGCGCAAGAGACAGCGAAGGAGAAGACGATCGTGTCGAATCAGTTCACGGGCCGAGCAACCGGACTTACGTCGGCACAACCTCAACCGACAGACAGTGTAAAGGAGACGGAGTTGGCCAGCCGGGCAAAATGTAGAGGCATGATCAAGCGGGTAAATAAACACACAGGACCCGTGGAATGTTATCACCCGTTAACAGTGTCAGAAGTGACAGCGATGGCTGAGACGCCGCCTCAGACCCCGTCGTTAGAGAAGGCTCGCCGAAAAAGAACAAGGAAAAACGAGAAGAGATCGAGCGAGCACCGCAAGAAAGGACGCAAGCGCAGCTCGAAATACACAAGATAAGTGCTGAAGTCGAATCAGAATGTGTTGGGCTGTGCTGAGTGTCATATGTTCTGTTAATGTTGTGTTATCATGTGTCACAAGTGTCGAAGTGTTTGTGCTGTGATGTGATGTATAGTGTCTTATAATTGTGGTAATGAGAGAACTTTATGCATTTGTATTGTTTGAAATGTGTGATGAAGTGTTGTAGTCATGTGCCTGTGGTTATATTTTATGTGTTGTGTAATTGAATTACAATGTACGATTGTATTAAGTGATCTATTGTGAATGTGACGTGTCATGAGCGACGGACTATGTTACAGTCTGTGAGAGTGTGTGGTGACTGTTCGCGCTCGTTTTGTGTGGTTTTGAATATTATGAGATAATATTCTTAAAGTGGGGGGCAGTGTCACAGAATGAGCGCTAAAAAAGAGCGCGCCACCAAATTCTTGCGACAACGGGCGGGAGAACGCCGCGAGGTCAAAAGAAAAAAAAAAGAAAGTAAACATCCAAGGCTCCCCGGGCGCGCGCTCTCCCCGCGGAAGCGTGGCGTCGCAGACGAACCTCCTCTTCCCGCATCGGTGGCCCAGCAAGCCCGCGATTTTTCTAGAACGAACGGGGCGGGGTCATACCGAGTTGAATCATCCTCCGGGGAGGGCAGTCGAACCGTCTCGCACCTCTCCCCAACCTTCGCTGCACATCGCGCCGACGCAGAACGTTCTGGATGGTGGCGCGGAAGGTATTTAATCGAGTGGCCGAGACGAGAAAGCAGGAGGAGACGGAAGTTAACGCCAGAGCGCGTAGGGATTCCGCCGTGTAGTCGGCGAAGGTTTTTGGTCCGTAGGGACGAGGCCGGAGATGAAGAGGATTTCCACCTGAGGGGTGACGACTCGAGCTACCGGCAAGAGTGGGTGTTTACCACTATCGAGCGAAGACCCGTGGCAACAGCTGCGAGTGTGAAGCCGACGTGTTTCCGGCGAAGAAGTTTGAAGCTTGGAGAGTGGCCAATTGAAGTCGGCGAGGTTTCCTGGAAGAGAGACTTCGAGAGCTGCGGAACGACAACAACGCTGGACTTTAGTGAGTGATTCTCGGAAGAGTATCATTCAGACTTTTGTCCCAAGGACTTTGGACTGAACAGGTTTTCTAACTCTTTAGTCCTTAAGTGTCTTGGTTGTTAAATGCATGCGACTGCATTGTAGTGCGTATTGTTGTCTGTGTCCGTTGTTTCAAGTGTGGCTGATTGTATTGTGTAGTACGTTGATTGATTGGTTTGATTGGTGACATATTGTATGCAACTATTG